CCCGCCCGCGCCGAGGAGGACGCCGAGGCCGAGGCCGAGGCCCTGGCCCCGGTGGTGCCCGCCGGCCCGAGCCCCCGCGCGCCCCTGGGCCCGGCCTCCGCCGCCGCCGCCGCGGGCCTGCTGCTCTACCTGTGCCCCGAGGCGCAGTGCGGCCAGACCTTCGCCAAGAAGCACCAGCTGAAGGTGCACCTGCTGACGCACAGCAGCAGCCAGGGCCAGCGGCCCTTCAAGTGCCCGCTGGGCGGCTGCGGCTGGACCTTCACCACGTCCTACAAGCTCAAGCGGCACCTGCAGTCGCACGACAAGCTGCGGCCCTTCGGCTGCCCGGCGCCCGGCTGCGGCAAGAGCTTCACCACCGTGTACAACCTCAAGGCGCACATGAAGGGCCACGAGCAGGAGAACTCCTTCAAGTGCGAGGTGTGCGAGGACAGCTTCCCCACGCAGGCCAAGCTGAGCGCCCACCAGCGCAGCCACTTCGAGCCCGAGCGGCCCTACCAGTGCGCCTTCTCGGGCTGCAAGAAGACCTTCATCACCGTCAGCGCGCTCTTCTCCCACAACCGCGCGCACTTCCGCGAGCAGGAGCTCTTCTCCTGCTCCTTCCCGGGCTGCAGCAAGCAGTACGACAAGGCCTGCCGCCTCAAGATCCACCTGCGCAGCCACACGGGCGAGCGGCCCTTCCTGTGCGACTTCGACGGCTGCGGCTGGAACTTCACCAGCATGTCCAAGCTGCTGCGCCACAAGCGCAAGCACGACGACGACCGCCGCTTCCTGTGCCCCGTGCAGGGCTGCGGCAAGTCCTTCACCCGCGCCGAGCACCTCAAGGGCCACAGCATCACCCACCTGGGCACCAAGCCCTTCGTGTGCCCCGTCGAGGGCTGCTCCGCCCGCTTCTCCGCGCGCAGCAGCCTCTACATCCACTCCAAGAAGCACCTGCAGGACGTGGACACCTGGAAGAGCCGCTGCCCCGTCTCCACCTGCAACAAGCTCTTCACCTCCAAGCACAGCATGAAGACCCACATGGCCAAGAGGCACAACCTGGGCCAGGGCCTGCTGGCGCAGCTGGAGGCCGCCACCGCCCTCACGCCCAGCAGCGAGCTGGCCAGCCAGGGCCACAGCGACCTCAGCGACGCCGAGCTGGTGTCCCTCTTCTCGGAGGTGCCCGGCGGGGGCGGCGGGGGCGGGGGCGGCCAGCACGGCTCCTTCCGCCGCTGCGGTGCTGGACACGGCCCTGGTCAGCTCGGGCATCTTGACTATCGACGTGGCTTCCGTGAGCTCCACTCTGGCCGGCAGCCTCCCCGCCAGCGGAGGGAGCAGCGGCAGCGGGGGCGGCAGCGTTTCTTTGGGGCCGCCCGTGGGACCCTCGCGCCCTGCTGGCCACCACCGACCTGCCTCAGAGCCTGGATACCTCTTCTCTTCCTTCGGGACGACGGCCACCGGCTTTCCAGCACAGCCCCCCTGGACATGGACGACGTGTCCCGGCCCCGGGCGCGGGGCCGCTGGGTCGCTGGCTTCCTGGCCATGAAGACCTGCGGCCAGGAGCCCAGGCCTGACGCCCAGCAGCAAGCTGACCGTGGACACCGACGCGCTGACGCCGTCCAGCACCCTCTGCGAGAGCAGCGTCTCCGAGCTGCTGACGCCCACCAAGGCCGACTGGGCCGTGCACCCCGACTCGGACTTCTTCGCGCAGGAGGAGGAGGACGACACCCAGTTCGGCTTCTCCCACCCCGCGGGCAGCCACGGCTGTCCCTGTCCGAAGGAGACGGATCTCATCACCGTGACTGGCGGCTCCTTCTTGGTATGAGCCCGCGCCCTTCATTCCTCGCCACGTGGCCGACGTTCGCGATGTTAAGGATGCTCTGGGCTAACGGTGTGACTGCGGCCCTTTCTCTGGGGCCTGAGAAAGAACGTGGCCCCGGGCGACGCCTTTGCAGGTGTCAGTTCTGACCTTGAATCTGGAACTGTCGAGTTGAGTGACCCTGAGCAAGTCACTCAACCTATCTGAGCCTTAATGTCCTTATTTATAAAATGAGGTGGTTTGAATAGATTGCTTCTGAGGTCCTTTGAGCTCTGTATTTTCATGATACTGTGCTCTTTTTTGAAAAACTTAGGACATTTTACAATGATTAACTATTGCATGTGCTCTAATGTGATGAAAACTTCATTGAGAGTTAATGATCAGAAATTGTGGCACTGCTGTTTAACGTTAAAAATAATGGAAATTTTACACAATGCCAAAGTATTTCTGAAACTTAGTGGTAGAGCTTGAACATTGAAAGCTAAAAATACGGGCTGGTTCTTTTCCCCTGTTTATCTTTACAGACTCTTTTTTTTTTTTTTTTTTTTTGCTGTAAGATTGTGTTGTTGTGGAATGTGCCAGGGCTTTGATATAACTCAGTCCCAGAACAAATTGACTTGTGTTGTTGATAAGTGGCCTTAAGTAAGTTCTTTAGTCTCACTAAGCCTCAGTTCCCTAGCTGTAAGTGGTCACTGCAGTGTGCATATACATGGTGCATCTTGGCCTTCTTTTTCTACCCCAGCACTTAGTGTTGGGAGGGAAAATGTTCCGTGTTTTGGCATGTTTTGGTGAATCTTTATCACATTTCCGGCTCCTCTCCTTCCTTCCTCAAAGAGGATAAATTGGCATAACTGAATATCACACTTACACAGTCAGTATAGTTTTATGAAGCTTAAGGAGAAGGGAAAGAAATCTTTTTTCCCCCACAGATTAAGAAGGATTTTTGTCCCCACAATTCTTGTATGACATTGTCCACATGGGCATTAGACCAAATTATAGTGTCTTTGCTCTGTATTCAAAGGCAGCCTGTAGAGTGACTGTAAAGCCTGTAGTTCCGAGAAAATCTGGGAATGGACCGGAGTGAGATTCTCTCCCTCTCTCTCCAGAGAGCTCATTGTGTGCCTTCTCCCAGAGTTGGAATGAGAGGTTTTGTTTGCTTTTTGAGTAAATAGTGGCTGTCTTACGTGAGTATAGCATTTTACAGTTTATATAGCATTTTCAGAAAAGTTATATTTGATTCGTACAATTTTATGAGATAGTTGTGGCCAAGATTTCACAATAATTCATATTAAAATCTACCTTACATTACAATTAAATATTGCTCAGTAACATATATATAGTATATGTATATATAGTATATGTATATACATATGTGTGTGTGTATATATATATATATATATATAGTCCCCCATTCTACTCTTCTGTGTTTCATGACCACTTTTGTTTATAACCCACTCATTCTGTTGCACCTAAATTGATGTCTGTTACCTTCTGCCAGCTCTGCTCCCTCTACAACTTATTCTCCAGCGCGTGCACACCAGTCCTTGACATCATCTCTTTGTTAAAAAATATACTTTTATTGATTTCAGAGAGTAAGGGAGAGGGAGAGAGAGATAAAAACATAAATGATGCCGAAACCGGTTTGGCTCAGTGGATAGAGCGTCGGCCTGCGGACTGAAAGGTCCCAGGTTCGATTCCGGTCAAGGGCATGTACCTGGGTTGCAGCACATCCCCAGTAGGAGATGTGCAGGAGGCAGCTGGTCGATGTTTCTCTCCCATCGATGTTTCTAACTCTCTATCTCTCTCCCTTCCTCTCTGTAAAAAATCAATAAAATATATTTTTAAAAAAAACATAAATGATGAGAGAGAATCATCAATCAGCTGCCTCCTGCACGCCCCACACTGGGGATTGAGCCCGCAACACGGGCATGTGCCCTGACTGGGAATTGAAACTTGACCTCCTGGTTCATAGGTTGATGCTCAACCACTGACCCACACTGGCCGGACACCATGATCTCTTTTTTAAAAATTTAATTAGATTTTTTTCATATTCACTATCTCTCAGCCTTTATCGTCATGGCCCATTTTTTTGGTCACAAAATTTACAAGTCTGAGTGTGTACTAAAATTATTTTCTGGATTTAGATGCCATTGCGTTTATATATGAATCAAACAATAGGGACATTTTTATGTAAGATTTTAGTGAGAGATGTATTTGTTTTACTTTTCTAACTTTTTTTACCGTGTAGTTCTGCTAACAAACACTATTAGTTGCTCTGAAACATTCTAACCCAGTACTGTTTGCATGTAGATGTTTGTGTATAGTACTTATCATAGCAGTTTGGCAGTGCACTTTAAAATTTGCCACTTTGAAATGTATCTGTACTGTCTTTCTAATTTTTAAATTGGTTGTACTCATCTTGTGAAAAAGGAAAAGTATACATAAATTTGTAATTCAAACAAATGGTCAGCGTTTTATTGTTTCTAACCATTTAAAAGTTCTCCCCCAACACTTTGGAAATATTTTTTAAGCCCATTTTCGAAATGTGTTGTCATTAAGTCCTCTTAACTATATGCTTTTTCTTTTCTTGCAGATAGGAATGCAGAAGCCTGAGGTGAGCATTCAGGTCATAGGCATCTGTTAAGATATATAACCATAAAATATTTTAAAATCTGTTCACTTTGTTTTCTTACTTCATTCCTATTTCCTCCCATTAAACACTATCAGAAAATATACTTTTGTTATATTCTGTGGAATTTTCAAAGGACAAATTTTACTTTTCTTGAAGATAATCTTGTAACTCTTTGTGGGTTCACATGGTTTCTTTCAGTTCAAAATACTTCTCTTTTAATACCATTTTCCCATCATGATGATGAAAATGGCATGAAATGTAGTCAGACATCTGACTACAAATTAATAGTTACATTTCTGTTGGTGTTGGCATACACTTTCCCTTGTAAAAGAATGGGACATGATTTAATGTTCATTCTCATTGTGCCTCTTCAGTCCTTGATTTATTAAAATGTTGTTAACTGAAAACATGCTTTTGCAGGAAGGTTTGTGTCCAGGGGAATCTGTTGGACATGTTCCTCATGAGTTAAAATACATTCACCCTGACATTTTTACCATTGTCTCATTATAGTATCACACAATTGAAAGCCCTGAGTAGTAGATGGAAACGATAGAATATGAGGATCATTTTTCTCTGTGGATTAAATGCTTTCCATTCCCATCCAGGAAAAATAAGAGAAAGCTTTGGTATAGCGGTATTTTTTTTTTTTACTATTTCTTGATTCCAGATAAAGCATTGATTAACTCCCTGTTTGGGAATATTCATAATTCCTTAGTAATTATTGATATCAAACATTTCCACTTGATGATTTGGTAATAAAACCTAATTTAGATACAACTCACTCAAAATACGGGATAATTGAAATACAAAGTTGAGATTAAATTTATGTATTATTTTTAAAAGATTTGCTTATCATTTTTTTAAAAGTGAAATGTGTGTTGGGGATTTAGAGAGCAGATTAAGCACTTTGACAGGTCACAACTTCATATAAAAAGCAAATCACTCATTACAAATGAATTTTTTATGTTTGTCAAATCTGAATTGATGGGTGTTTGGTAAAAATTTTAAGCTAGGAAACTTATTTATATTTTAAATTGATATACTGACTACATGCAAAATATAAGGTATAGTACCAGGAACATAGATCAGAGGAGTAAAATGTGAGCCACATCTTCACTTTAGAGAGGACATAGGAATTCATATATTAAACATTTCACAGCTAGATAATAGCAGCAAACATGTTTTCTGACACCAAGTTAATGGCTTGCAGGAAAAGCAGGGGTAGTAGCTATAGTTTAATGGATGGTTCTATGTAGTTATATAGAGAAGAGAGTAGATGAGTTCCAGCCAAGGAGAAAAGCAAGAATTTGAGAGAGAATTGACCACACAACTCTGGTAAAGGTAAAGACAACCTAGCTTGTACAGAGCTCATGTTTGGTAAGTGCTGGGTGTTGGGGTTAGACCAGTATGGAAGCAAACTTTGGGAGCTATGAAAAGCAGTCACAGTGGACGGGACTTTATTCTCACTGGTTAAGAGCCAGTGAAGATACCTAAGAAGGGAAGTCAAATGATGAATATACAGGAGCAAAAGTAGGTTTACAGTTGTTCATATGGAAAATAATACAATAATGAAAAAAATACAAGATTAAACTCATGTACTCACAACTATAAAGCTACTTTTGCCCCACCCTGTATAGAAAGTGTAATATAGTAGGCATGTGCAATGTGGATTAATTGGGGGAGATAGAAAAATCATTTAGAAGTTCATTGTAATAATTTCAGGATGTGGTGATGAAGGCTAGGACTGGAGTTGTGTCAGGAAGTGACAGATATTGGAGATGTTTCCAAACTGGAGAAACAAATACAATTGGGGGACTCATTGCATATATGGAGCATCCATCAGAAAAAGAAAGATCATAAATGATTTCTAGTCCAGCCACATGGCAGGGCTAAGGATTTCTTAGAGACTATAAATTGCATGTCATTAGCATGAACAAGAAGTTTGGGTATTGACTTTTTTTTTAAAATATATTTTATTGATTTTTTTACAGAGAGGAAGGGAGAGAAATAGAGAGTTAGAAACATCGATGAGAGAGAAGCATCGATCAGCTGCCTCCTGCACACCCCCTACTGGGGATGTGCCCACAACCAAGGTACATGCCCTTGATTGGAATTGAACCTGGGACCTTTCAGTCCGCAGGCCGACGCTCTATCCACTGAGCCAAACCGGTTCGGCTGGGTATTGACTTTTTGTTGTTAATCCTCACCTAAGGATATTTTTTTCCCATTGATTTTTAGAGAGAGTGGAAGGAAGGGGGAGAGACAGAGATCGATGTGAGAGAGAGACATTGATTGGTTGCCTCCCACATGCACCCCGACCAGGGCTGGGAATTGAGCTTGCAGCCGAGGTATGTGTCCTTGACCAGAATCGAACCCAGGACCCTTCAGTCCAAGGGCCAGCGCTCTATCTACTGAGCCAAACTGGCTGGGGCTGGGTATTGAGTTTTTCAGAAATATATATGCAAAAAAGATTAGGGCATGTTTAATTCACTGGGCAATGATAAGTCTTGGTTATCCCTAAATAAACTCTAAGTATTGTGGAGTATATACACTATTAGACAGCAGGGACCATTTCATCTCCCTTGGTTCTCTCATGTGCTCTCAGATTCACATTTCATATTTGCGCTCCTGTTTGCC